GTATATTCTGGGAATATCATTTTGCTATGTGGGGTGGACCTGCAGAGTTTTTAAATGGAACATTGGCCAGTAGTACCTACTTATGTTTACCTGGACACTCTGTTGAAACTCGTCGATTCAGTTCTTTAACAGCCGTATCGCCTTGAGGGATAACAATAATATTGGTAACTTTGGCATTTCCTGCGGCTGCTCCAGGTTGTACCAGTGAACTGTGCAATTGAATCTTTCCGTTCGAGTGAATAGATAATTGAGGGGAGGAACAAGAGTCGTCCCAGTAGTGATGTTGGACGAGTTGATATGCTCCATCTTCTTCAAAGGTGTAATAGCGAAGAACATATTCTGGACCAGGCCTGGTTTCACATCTAATATGCGTGAAAGAATAGCCTGAGATTTCAAATAATTGCCGAATTTAAAGAATGAAGAACCACTACTGATTCGGATTCTAAACAAAGGTTTCTAAAATTATTTTAATATTAATGCGTTATCATCAGGTGGTCTGGTCTGCAAACCTGCTGTTTACTTAACCCCCTGTCGTTTATAAAATATGACCGGTCAATCGAGTGGAACCTTTTATAAATGGTTCGCTCTGTGAGAGACTGTTAGCGCACCTTTTGGAGATTTACAATATCATAGTGATCATAGCAAGGGCAACCATTTTTCTTATCGATGGTTCACTTTCTAAAAAGGCCATTTATTTCTCTCTAGTATGATGTACAAATGAGCGTTTTTGCTCATTTTGCTTCCGAGGAACATGCAAAACGGGACGGAAAACATGAAATTTTGCAATAATCTTGCGCCACCCTTGCATAAAACGACGATAATTTTTCTAATTTCATAGACAACAGAAGAAACAGTATTTTTTTTACATAAGCCCCCCTGAATTTAAAGCTGGATCCACCCCTGGATCATACTCGGGCATTTTCAACAATAAACAATAAAATAGTGAGGAATAATAATACACACTAAATTATTTAGATAAGCAGGTAAACGTGCTTTGAACAATTACATGCATAAAGTCTGTGCATCCAGCAAAAATTAAGTAAATCCGAAGACTATCCATCTTCCTGTTTCCATCCAATATGTTTATTGTGCTATCCAGATTTGACAGTCCAAATAAACCGATAAAACTTTACGATTTGTTGAGGTAGTTGTTAATCCATCTGTGTGTGTGTTTTAATGTCTGTCGAAGTCGAAATGGTCTGGTTGTTTTATTTGTATATTTCATACATTCGATTTTTTGAGAAAATGTTCATTGCATGAGCAATTAAATTGTATCTATAGCTACTTAGAAATGAGCGATTAAATAATAATTCGCCATTTGGCATACTAAATGTTTCTTTAGATTTATTGTGTCGTTCTTTGGTGCTGCAGATTCCAAAGTACCTGCATTTTAAGATTGGCGATGCCGATAAACTTGAACTTACCCTTCTGAGATCCACGTTCCGGTAAGCAGTTTGCTACTGGTTTCTACCATTGTACTACTGTCTTCCAATGATGCTAGTCGAGACAATTCTTCGCAAAGCAACGCCAAAGATTGGCAGAAGATGAAATTGACTGCACATAAAAAATATTGTTGACTTTCTCAATTAGAGCATTGCGTTCGTTCAAGATCAAAATTACATGTAGAAACAGAAAAAGTGAGAAAGCAACTTAGCCAGATTAAAATGACAAACAATTCCAAGACAACTCACGGGGAATGCAGAATAGTACCATTCAAAAAACTGTACTAAGAAAATTCCATTATGTTCTGTTTCAATTATATCGAGTTGGATTTATTTGAAGTAAAATCAGACAGTTTGTTTTGGTGCAGCTTAAACGGACGGTTTCTGTGCATATGCCAACAATAAAACCAGACTGTTAACATCTTAGAAAAATAGTGGATAAATGCGGTGGCTTGAATTTGATATTTGCACGAAAATACACTGTTTCTTCCGTAAAAGTTTCGCTTGGACGTTTCTCTCCAATCAGATTTCAACCGATTAAATGCGTCAACGTTATAATTTTATTGGGCAATATTAATAAAATTTCTATATTACCCAAATACATTTATCCTGAGCTAACAGTTCCCATCCTATGAAATTCAAACAATTAAAATGCATATAACAAATTCAAATTACCCGCTTAGTG